ACTGTATTTTCCACTTAATTTTTGTGTTCTGTCTAATTTTAATTGCTTTGGTGGTCAGGTAATTTAGTCACAAAAGATTGTCTTTATTCAGCAGTTCTGCAGATTCAAAAACCTCACAACTTTACATGTAATGTATTTCATTTGAGCCAACTGCTCTGAGAAACTTAATGAGTTCTGTCAGACATTTTGTTTTAAAAATGCCAATACACTTCCTACTTATCTGCCTTCTGCCAACTTCCCTTTGCTCTAGAACCTTCCTGAAGTGAATGTAGACAGTTGTCACAAGGCATTCCATAAGAGTTTATACCCATTGTGGTTATAGTAATTGCTTTTGAAGAGGTGCTGACAAATCAGTCCAGATTAACTACCATCGATCACACACAGTAGTGAAAGAACACTTATTTTCAGACACTCCCTATGAGGGAGTGAGGGCATGGTGAAACAGCTCAGGAACACAAAGGAACATGTTTGGAATGGAACTACTTTAAATTAAAGATCCAATGTACTGAAGAGGATCAGATCACAGGTAGCTTATACTACATTTTTTGTTCCGTTACCCACTGACTGCTAATTGTTTTATGATTCGTAACCTTACGCACTGCATTTAACCATAAATTTATTCTGCTCTGTACTTTTGGTCCGATACATATAATCCACCTCAACTATAATGAGCCATTTATGCAATTTCAATTTATACATAATTAGCACTGACCAGGTATAATCCAGAAACCAACACCCTCCAGAGATTCATCTAACATATACAGTACTATAGTTCTTCCATAAGTGGACGAAATGAAAAAAATAATGAGGGGATGGAAGAAAGAGTCTGTAACGAATAGATATTAAAAGGACTAGCCCAGCAGTATTGCTTCAGAGGAGGAGAGGGGAGGAGCTACATGTTTTCGTGACTAAAGAACAAGAAATAGAGACCAAGCAAAAAGAGATTCTGTACTGGTAATAGGAAAAGCTACTTTATACATATCCAGAAAGCCATAGTGCAGGACTTTACTGGGATCTTTGAAAATAGATTAAGAAAGTGTATTATTAATAATCTTTTAGCAGCCAACAGACAAAAATGGTACAGGGAGTTGGTGCTGTGAGCTGTTCTATTTAAATTTGTTTTAGCAGTGAAAACCCTCTCTGAAAGGAGAAATGTGTGTCAGTAAAACTACAGGTTTTTATGGTCATTGTGGGTGTTTGTGTTCAATGGAGAATATAAAGTGACCTGACGTGCCTACAGTAGCTATAAACTCTATTACCAGTGAAGAACAGCTATGGACGTGTTTGTGTCTGAGGTATAGAAGTGTCACCAGGGAGGTGGTACAGCTGGGCAGCTGAGCAGCAGGGACGCTGAAGCTGGGGCTCTGGGAGAAAGTTCAGTTATAGGTACCCTTGCGTAGCAGCAGATTCTAGCAAATGTGATCAGCAGTGAAGTGGCGGAGCTGGATAGCGGAATGGCTGTGGGCTAAAGAAGCCAGAGGTTTACATATGAGTGCAGCAAGTCTTTGTGACTGTAGAAGGAAAACAGTGAGAGGGAAGACAGCAGATGAAGCAGTCTACAGTCTTCCCCAGAAGGTGAGCAACTTGTGAGAGCTAGGATCAATAGTGTGAGAGCACAAGATGCACAACTGAGCTTTAACTGAGGAGGGCATTGCCCCATGTGCTGAACACATGTACAACAGAGGATAGTGTGCAATAATGATGGAACAAATGGTACATGACTCCCTCTGTACCAAAGAGAGAAGGGTTTAGTTATATACCTACAGTACATGGACTCCTACTATCAGATACAAGGAGAGCACAATACAGTCTGTGCAGAAATCATTACATTCCACATCTTAAAAACAAAGATTACTGTATATTGGGTCAATCAATATTAAATACCTGTAGATCAGAAAAACCTGCAATGTTGTAGAAATTCATGCTGCAGGGAAAGCAGCACCAGTTTAAGGAAAAAGATACATGTATATATTAAACAGATTTAATAAACATAAACAGGAAATGTAGAAAAAACAGAGTAGGACATTACAACAGCAGGTGGTATTAGGGTTTGAAATTGACCTTCAAGAATTTTTGTGGCACTGACATTTTATTTTCACAGCTCACAATTCAAAATCCATTTATGTAAATTACTCAATGATAAATGTTCACAAAAACAGTGAAGAAGAATTATTTAAAATTTCTTCTTTAAACTTTCCCTTTTAACCTAAAGAGAACTAGAAACCATAAAAGGTTATACAACAGCGAACTCACCTACAACTGAAATTTCAAAATACCTGTAATTATTACAGAACACAGTGTGAATGGTGTTACAGTATCATATTCTGGGTAACTTTACCACATGCTGTGACACACTATTACTGAACAAGAAGAATGGACACTTCACTTGCTCCACAGGTCACCTCTAATTGGTATAAGCAGATAAGAATGTCAATTTCAGCACTCTCATTGTATTAATTGAACTCAAGGCACAATATGAAATCAGTTGCTGAAAACCTACTTGTGACAGCAATTAACCATGCGGTTGAAGTGTGGGCAAGTAACACAGCTACCAGGGAGGCACTTTAACTGTCTTAAAATGATACTAGATGCTGCCTCTGTTTTTCTTGATCTTTAATATCCAGCCCATCTGACACCATGCACACTGCAGTTGTACTGCAGTTCTGATGTGAATGACAATACACAAACCACTAATTCCAACAAATACTTTATGGAGTCTTTGGATGACAGGCGGGGGAAAACCCTGCACATTTAATCAGTAATGCCACAGTACTCCCCAGTCTAGAGTAGTGTAAACATGCACTGTCAGCGAAAGCTTCCAAGACACATGTTAGTTAAAACAATCTATGTACACTTACTATACAGTGATAGTACTCAAGCCTGGAACAAAAAATATAGCATTCTTTGAGCACCCATTAAAGAAACATCTACTACTTCATTACAGCTGCTACAGTACATTACTTTTTTCCTTTATTGTCCAAGATAGGAAATTTTCCTTGCAGGCAGGTAAAATACATAGCAAAATACACAATGCATTTAACACAACCTGAACCCATTAACAAATAAGAAACAAGCATGCATAAGACGAAAAAAACAAGTTAGCAGCTTTAAGTAGTCCTCACAATTTAGAAAGACAAATTGAGATATGTGTACATGATACAATAATGATGAAAAATTAATTTTCTGAATTATGCAGGTTAATACAGTATATGTGGAAAAAAGGATTACTTAGTACTATTGCTCTTAAATCTAGGTGGTCTATATCGATGTCTTCATGGAAGTAGCTCAAACGCACAGTGCAACGGGTAGTCATGACAGTCCATGATTATATTGTCCTTCTGCACTATTTTTTTGGTAGAGATGTCTGCCAGCTGTAGCAGTTGTGCATCGATCATTTTGTTGGCTACAGTACCTTCACTGTGCTGCTCTGTTTTTATTGTGTGCATTCAGGTTACCGGACCAGGCTACTACAGTGAATGTTATTACAGCTGCCACAGCCTCTGTACAAATGTTGCAAATCAGATATAAAAATAATTTTCAGTACTGAGCATCACTCACTGTACACAGCTTCTCACAACATTTCCATCAACTGAGAAACCTGTGGAATCGATTTACTTGCTTATGATGAACATAATATCTCTTGTATTGATTTTTTGGCATGTTACTTTATGAAAATAAATAACTAATATTAAAATGAAGCACCCCAGTGAATTAGACCACAACTGTCATGCCTCCTTTGCAAACATTAATCTTACCTGTACACCTGGTATAGCAGGTCATATGCTAGAGTCATTATTACAGCAAATGTTATTCTTCAACAAGAGGACATTTTTAAAACTACAAAAAAATCTATTAAACAAGCACAGAGACAATGCTTCTTAATCTGCACTAAACACAGAAGTTGACGACAGGTATAATGTCTGTGTCCACCACATATACAAGTGTTTAACACTGCATAGTGATATTAAAACGGGGTCCATTTTAATATTTTAATATTTAATATTCTGTACACAGAACTGCATATACACCATCCCTGTGAATTACACCAAGACAAAAAAAATATATAGAACACTTTACCTTCAAGCCAAATAAAGATTTGTTGATTATGATTGATGACATAAGGTTTCTTATTTTTAGGTGATGTTTTCTTAAAAGGTCCTTAAATGAAGGTTTTCAAACTTCCTTTTATCAAAAGACAAAGAGTGTGCACAGCAATTCCTGTAATTTTAATGTACAAATAATAATAACTGTCAAAACATAAAAAGCCAAAGTATTTAGGAATATGCAAATGAGCATGGTGCTTTAAACACTTTGGTGAGATAAGCGATATTGTAAGATTGTAAGATTTGTCATTTGGCAATCAATGCAATACACTTCTCATTTCTGAATTTAAACAATCCTCTGAATTCTATAGGTGCTCTCAGTCAGTAACTGAAGATCACTTTACTCTTGACTAATTAACCCAATAACTTGTTCCATTAAATAGCTGAAAACACTGAAGGAAACAAAAGAGAAGATACAGTAATGTCTGAAAGGACTTTAATGGGACACTCTTTATTCTTCAGTTTTAACATTTCCACAGTCCCAACAGTTCCTCCATCTAAAGAATTCATCATGCCATTCTTTTTTTCATCCAAATCCTTCCACAAACCAAACAAAATCACTCAGCTCATGCAGGGAATTACAGTATAAGTAAACCTTTGCATGATCAGGCTCCACTTTGGGATTAGGGAAATAAAGAGCACTTCTTAGTCCCAATTTGTATTCTTCAGCCATCTGACAACATTTCATTATATAATCTGTTAATTCTTTGTCGTTTTAGTACATTTAGTGTCTGTCATGACTAGTTTTCTCTTGCACAGCACTGTTGATAAACACTTAATTGACTTACACGTTTAACCTAGTGTATCTCTGCACTATGCACTTCCTTGCACTATTCAATCTGCCCCAGCCTTGTATTGCCCATGTCCTGAAATTAATTTATTTCATCCCAATCCTACCTGGCTCTGTGCAGTTCTTCTCTTGATCCGTTATGTTTTCTACTGCTGTTGACATGAGTCTTCGTATTCCCAATCGTTCTTCTGCTGTCCATTTTCCTGTGGCAGTCAGTCCATGACCTGTAAGGGAACAGCAAAAAAATTCAAAAGAAAATAAGAAAGGTTACAAACAAGAGATGTCTCTGTGAACCATATTGCATGTTTAGCTGTCAGTAGATCTCATCAGGCTCCTGCCTATAGTATTCCAATTGACTGGCTTTGACAATATGGTGTGTCACAACTCTCTGTGTACAGAATTGTTGTTCTTTTTATTATGCATAAACCTTTTCCTTGGTTTTTGTATTGAAGGCGATCTTGCTAATAACTTGCACAATTCTTAAAAAAGGAAAAGGACAATAAAATAAAGACTCCAAGATACTTTTGAGAAAACAAGAAACTCATTCATTGGCTGTACCTGTGCTATATTTGCCTATAATACCTATAATGGAGAAGCTACTGTATGTGATTACTAAAAAATTAATTCCTACCTACCATATGTAAACAAAGTAGTGTGAAGAAAGATATGGGAAAGGGTCAGTAACTTTAAATTCCTTGGTGTCCATATCACCGAGGACCTCACATGGTCACTCAACACCACCTGTCTGATCAAGAAAGCGCAACAGCTCCTATACTTCCTAAGACGATTGAAGAAAGCCAAGATATGTCCCCAGATCCTCACTACCTTTTACAGATGCACTACAGAAAGCACACTGACAGGCTGCATCACAGTGTGGTATGGCAACTGCAGTGCTGCTGACCGCAAAGCCCTACAGCGGGTGGTGAAAACTGCCCAGTCCATCACTGGGGTTACCCTCCCATCTATCCAGGACATTTATGACAGACGGTGCTTGAGGAAAGCTCTAAGCATAATCAAAGACCCCACACACCCCAGCTACAGACTTTATGATCTGCTACCATCTGGAAAACGGTACCGGAGCATTCGGGCCCGGACTACCAGACTCAGAGACAGTTTTTACCCCCGCACTATCAAACTGTTAAATTCCCAGCCTCTCTCACTCTCACCTCACTTCTCACCTATAATCTGAACCTCGCAGTGCCTTCTTTCTTTCCAAAAACCCAAACACACATTGAAAATCTACCTCTACCATACATGTCAAAAGCTCACTCCCCATAATTTCTATCCCTTTATTTTATTCTGTTGATGCATATTTTTGCACATAACCTGTTACCTTTTTGTTGTTTTGCACATTGCCTGTTATTGTTTTTTGCAGCTTGCCTGTTGTTGTTTTTTGCACATTGCCTGTTGTTGTTGTTTTTTGCACACTGCCTGTTGTTGTTTTTTGCACACTGCCTGTTGTCTCTGTCTTTCTTTTGCTACACAATTGTATTGTTGTTGTTGTTTTGTTTTTTTTCGCTTTGTACTTCCTATGTCCGAGAGCTAGCTAAATAGCATTTTGTTATACCATATACCATGTATATGAGTGCAATGACAATAAACTTGAACTTGAACTTGAACTTGGAAAGGATGAAAAACCTTTAATTCTGCATAGGGACTGTAGTAGTATACCTGGGGTCTACACAGCAGAGTGGCTTAGCTTTTGGGCTTATCACTGACAGTTGTGCCTTCGAGTCCCCACTGCGTGAAGTGATGTATTTCACCCCAGTTGCTTCAGTCCACCCAACTGAATAGTGTGGGGCCCAGCAATACTGAGGGTAATTCCTGTGATGTGATAGGGTGGAGAATTCACATTCTCTCTAGCTTGCTTATTGCAAAAGAAAGCAGACAGAAACCAGAGAGAAACTAAGGTGAATTCTGGCCCAATGAGCCACTGTGACCCTGGCTTGGACTTTATTGTAGCTGTTGTACAGCATGTACAACTTTCAAACATGTCACCTTGAAAGTCATATTTTGTATACAAAAGCAGTTATCAGGTTTGCTTTTAACAAAGGAGATAATGGAAGACTGTCAAAATATTTTAAAAGAAATCAGAATTTAGATAATATATTTCTACATTAGTTTGATGACTTACATTTGATAAAGCCAGGATATCCCAAACCACTTATAAGCACCAAAAAGTATGTCTCCACTGTTATGCCATTTGAAATCACAACATTCTACTGCCTTCACTTTATGTTGCAAAGAACACTTGACAAATCTTCATGTAGTCCTATTATATACAATAGTATTATCAACAGCTCTTCTTCCTGATTATTGTTGCACAACATAGAATCGCTTCTAGAGCAACTTTCAACTCTGGATTAAATGCCAATCAATGAAATGGCACACATCCACACAGAGGGTAAAATTAGAGACTCAAATAAACCTAGGCAGAATATCTATAGATGGAGGGAGGAAACCCTTAACTCAGAGAAAATCCAGGGAGGAAAAAAAACGCAAGAGTGAGAACTCTGCTCTACACATTTATAGAATTTGCTCAACATAAGATCCCAAGCTGAACAAAAACCTAAATGCCATGAACCTATTTACTTTCAATGCTTTGTATATCGTATCCACCTGACTGTGTAATTACCAGCACTGATGTAGTCATCAATCATTACCATTTCATATTCTGTGAATAGCAGCAAGGCCTGACAGAGATCATTAAACTTTAAAATCAGCTACAATCCATGAAGCTTTCCTGAAGAAATAAGATAGGACATTTTTCAAACCAAGGATACCAACATGAATGTAGATGAAGGTCCAGGAAACACCAAGTACTGCTAATGGGCTTTTTACTACTGGTCATTACAAGCTGGTGAGCATTTCATACATGTGCTGGTGATCTTTAATAATTATACAGTACCTGCTGCTTAGGGATCACTAAATTAATGATTAAGGATTACATCTTGTTAAGGAAATATAGTGCATAAACAGGAAATATCGGGCTCTGTTCAGCAAATATTTAATAATTATTCATTCAGCACACATTCATCCAAAAGAGCTAACAAGAGGCCAGAAGGTGAACTGTGCATTAGCAACTGCTGTAGCATAATCACTTATAAACAGAACCTTGGTTTTATATTTTATCCCAAAACTACTACACAAGGCTATTGCACTCAATCCATTTTTTGCCTTGCAATTTTTAATGTTTCTTATGTATGTTTAGAAATAATTACACTTTACAAATGTGACCTTTTCAATGACAATTCATTTGTATTTTCTGACCCACAGGTAATGTCCATCACAAGTGATGGAATGTTTTTAAATTCAATTCAATTCAAAAAAGCCCTGAGAGCAGGAGATAACAGTACAAATATAGAACAACTATAGTCACTAACCTTAAATTAAACCTTTTCTACAGCAGATGGAAACAATGCAGAGGCTGTTCTGTACACTTTTCCAACCTCACCTCTATGATGTTCTGTATTTGAAAAGCAAAACACATGATCTTATATCAAGTTCTGATTTCACCCTGCTGGAATATTTCTATTTAAATATTAAAATAAAAGATAAAATAAAAATAATAAAAGATAAATAAAATAAAATAAAAATAAATATTAAAATAAAAGCTGATCAACACATTTGTGTTCTCTCGAATTGACTACTGTAATGCTCTACTCGCTGGGGTATCTTAATCTACTTTGAACAAACTACAGTATGTCCAAAATTCAGCAGCCAGAATCCTGACCAGGTCTAGTACAAATTATCACATCACTCCTATCCTGGAGTCCTTGCACTGGCTTCCTGTCAAATTCCGTGTAGACTTTAAAATCCTCATGCTCACCTACAAGGCTCTGCATGGCTTGGCACCTCAGTACCTGTCTGAACTATTATCGCCCTACTCCCCACCTCGTAACCTTCGCTCTTCTTATTCTACTCTCCTTACTGTCCCCCAAGCCAGTCTACACTGTATGCGTGACAGGGCCTTCTCCTGTTATGCCCCCAAGCTCTGGAATTCTCTGCTCAAGGATATCAGAGAGTCACCTTCTCTTAACTTCTTCAAATCCAGACTCAAAACCTTCTTCTTTAGAAAAGACTTTACTTAACTGGTTCCATTCTTCACCCCTCTGCTTTTCTTAGTACCACCATCCAATGTCTCCTCTGTATATTGTAATTGTGTTTTATCTTGTGTATTCTTTTTGTTGTTGTCATTCTGTAAAGCGCTTTGAAAAGCCACCTTTAAAGGCGCTATATAAAATAAAGTTTATTATTACTATCATAAAATGTGTGCTTCTGTAACTCTGGTTAGAGGACAGTCTCTCACTCTCTTGAGCTCTTGCCCCTGAAGTGTTTCTACTGTTAGTAAAGAGCACTGTCACATTATGGTCAAAGTCTCACCACTTGCTTACCCAGCACTTTTGGGCTTATGTAAAAATAAAGGGTCTCTTTTTAATATTTTACGTATCAAAAGCTTATGAGCTCATTAAAAGGGAAAAAAAGCTCTAAGTGGATGGATCAGCTGTATTGTTACAAATGGGGGGCTACAAAAATGGAGAAAAATCAGGATTTGACTGAGCTGTTTAGTCAATAAGTAAAATAATCATTCACAATACCCAATTTGTAAGTGATTTCTAGCTATATACCGAAGTGGTTGGTATAATTAGAGGCATGTGAATTCTTTGTTCTCCGGCACAGCTTTGTTGAGAGGACTAATAATACAGGCACACTTGGATAAACAAATATTTATTACAATGACAAGACACAAACTACTCTACACACAACATACAACACACAAGTTACTTTATGTACAGGATTTACAAACAAGGCGTTTCAGAGGCCTAACATTCTGGTCACCCAAAAAAGTCCAGACTGCTACTAAGCATTAAAACTCTAAATGCCTACAGGGGCCACATAAGAGATGAGCTGCCTTCTAACTAAATACAAAGGAACACTGCAGTTAAATCTCTCTCTCTGCATGTGTATTCCTATCCATAAAAACGCACCCCAAGCAGGAAAGATGTTTCTAACTGAGGTATCTTTTACCCAGGAAACCCAAGTTTGAAAACACAGAAAAGCAAGCAGCTCCCTCTAACAAGGTTTAAATAAAGTACTTAGCGCCACTCTGTTTTGATTTGGATGATCGTGAAGTAGGGGCTCTTGCCTGGTGTAAGTTTCAAGTCCCTATTCCTCTGGACTTCTCTCTCTTCTCCTTGTTGCCTGTTTCTTGTTTCTTCTTTCC